TTCTCTGTTTTCTCACTCCATTTGGTGCTTGGCTGAGTTCTTTATCTCTTCATTTGATGTTTTAGGGTTTCAGGATTGTTGTATTCTCTGATCGCCTTAGTTTTTCAGATCTTTGCTGTGGAGGGATGGCGTGGTGCTTCTGCCTAGAGCACCATTTTGCTGGAACTCTCTGCCATGGTATTTTCAATGGCCTCATTTCATGTGAAAGCTGGACAATGAGAAAGGAAGACTGAAGAAGAATTGGTGCATTTGAATTGCAGTGTTGGTGAAGAATATTGACTATACAAGAACTAACAAATCTGTCTTGGAAGAAGGACAGCCAGCATGCTCCTTAGAAGCAAGGATGGTGAGCCTTTTTTTGCTTACTTTGGGCATGTCATTAGGAGGGATTAATCACTGGAGAAAGACATCATGCTTGGTAGAGGGTCAGCAAAAAAGAGGAAGGCCCTCAATGAGATAGACTGACACAGTGGCTCCAACAATGGGCTCAAACATACCTACTGTTGTGAGGATGCCACAGGACTGGAGAACTTTCTGTTCTGTTATACACAGTGTTGCTATGAGTCAAAGCCAAGTCGATGACACCTAACAACAACAACAGGAAAAAAAAAAAAGGACAGTCTCTACCTTTCTGAGAAAGGAACAGTACAAGGGTCTCTGATAGGTTAAGACTTAGGGGTTGTCCAGGTGCTAAAAAAGGCATTACTGAGAGCTAAGTCTAATACAAAGGAGCCCTGGTGGCACAAAGGTTAAGTACTCTGCAACTTACCTAAAGGTCGGGGGTTTGAACCTACCAGCGGGTCCTCGAGAGAAATGACCTGGCAATCTGCTCCATAAAGATTACAGCCTAGGAAACCCTATGGGGCAGTTCTAATCTGTCCTATAGGGTTGCTATGAGTTGGAATTGACTCAGCAACACTCAACAACAACAAAGCCTAACATGTTGTTTTTAAAAGCGTCATAAAATGTATCTGTTAAAAAACAGTATTACTAAACTATGGGATGACTCAATCCTGGTGACTTTAGGGCTTACTTGCATGTGCTCAGTAAATTAAAGGTAAAAGTCTAACACTGACGAATTGACTCAAGATTTACAAATCCCTCGAATTGTACCTGTCTTCTCCAGAAGACATGAATCACACAAATATCAGTGGCCCAGATGCTGAGAGCTGAGAGGAGAAGCAATCTCTCCATTCTCTGCCCTCACCCACCGTGATTTCTTTGGACTTAGCCCTTCTGCCAAAAAGACCATGGTTCCAGCAGGGAAGGGAAAAAGTGACAGTCAACATCAAGGCTGCTGGACTCTAACTCCTCAGAGTAGATGGGCCATTGGTCAAATGGGAGCACAACTTGGCTTCTAGACTGACACCTATTCTTCTTCTTATACTCTCAGGTTGGCCATCTTGAATACAATTAAAAAAAAAATCACTACTGCATGAGGAATTCATAAGACACAAACTAAAAGGAAACAAGTTGTACTTAAATACAGTAAATCCAGTTTTACCTCCTTTAGGAGACTAGTTTTATTAATTGAACCATGTGAATTGATGTTTTTGTACATTAAAAGTAATTAAATGTTGGTAATTTCATATGATTCAAGCTACATTCAGAAATATTTCAATTCTGGATTCTCTGTCTTGTCACTAGCTTCCCAGAATTTGCCCTAAAATTCTACCCTCTATCCTGGGACCAGTTAAGTTCCCACTAAATTCCTCTAGCCAACTAACCATCCATTCCAGAAACATTCATTGAGCACTTTTCTAAACTATGGACTCTGCAAACTGCTGCCAATAAAAGGGCAGATGGAAAGTTCTGTCCTAGCCCCTGAGGGGCTCATAGCCTAGTGAGGAAAGCAAACTTTAAAAAGTTACATAATCAGTTTGGTAATAGAAATATGTCTAAAGTGTTACAGAGAATTGAAGAACATCATACTTGGAGAGGAGTCTCTGGGTGGTACAAATGGTTAAGTGCTGGACTACTAACCGAAAGGTTGTGGTTCAAACACAACCAGAGCTGCCATGGAGTAAGCCCTGGCAACTTGCTTCCAAAAGGTCACAGCCTTCAAAATCCTATGGAGCAGTTCTACTTTGCACACATGGGGTCACCATAAATCGAAATCAACTTGACGGCGACTAACAACAACGACATGCTTAGGGAAGAGATGAGGAAGGTTTCCAGGAAGAGTTGGCATTTGGCTTGTGCCTTCAAGGATATGTAAGATTTCCTGAGTGGACCAAGGGGACAAAGGTGTTACAGGTAGGCATAGTGTCAAGGCTCTGGGGACATGAATGGAAACTGGATATTCTGGGAAAGTGTCAATAATTTGATTGGACACAATGAGAGGATGCAAGGAGGTAAGAAAATACTGGTGCCAGATCTTGAAGGACATGGCGTTTTCTTCCTTTATCATATAGGTGAACCACTAAGTTTTTTAATTCGGGAAGTGACATGATGTTTCTTTTTGATATATAATTCTGCAAAATCCAGGGGAGCTTGTTTTCTTTCTGTGACCAGTGAGACTAGAAGTGCAGAATCAAGCAAAAGGAATAGGATGTATAGGCTTTTAAAATTCTCTTTATTGTTTTTTCTGCTTATAAAGTAATACAGGTTAATTCTAAACAGTTTGAACATCATAGAAATATACAACATAGAAAGTAAATACTCCCTGTAATCCAACCTCCCAGACCCAAACCACTGTTACTATACAAGTGTACTGGTGTAGATTCCTTTAGATTTTTATTTCAATGTATAAACCAATATATTAATATGATTTTTCCACACCAGTAAATATACATACCTCATTATTTTTAATGGCTGCCTAATACTTTATTGGAGTCCTTGGGTGTCACAAACGGTTAAGTTTTTGCTCACCTACTAACTGAAAGGTTGATGGTTCAAATCCTTCCAGAGGCACCTCAGAAGAAAAGCCTGGCAATCCACTTCGGAAAGATGATAACCATTGAAAACCCTATGAAGCACAATTCTATTCTGAAACACTTGGGGTCTCCATGAGCCAGAATCGACTCAACAGCAATTGATTTGGTTTTTAATATTCTATTGCATTAATGTACTACAATTTATTTAATTAATCCTTATTTTGTGAACATTCAGGCTGTCTTCAATTTCATGATTATAGACAACATTGAGATGAGTATCTTTTTACATAAACCTTTGTAAAACTGTGTGGGTGTTTCTATAGGATACATTCTTAGAAATCCTTCAAGGAACTGATACGAAGAAATGACCATTTTTCATTTTAATAGATATTAACAAATTGCCATCATAAGGTTGTACCAATATATATCCCAACGTGTATGTGGGCCCCAATTTCCTGAGGGGGTGGGATTTTATAGGCAGTCTGTTTTTATCAGAGAGACTGTAGATCCTCGAGACTCTTCATTCAGCTCTGCAAGTGTCTGTAATTCACACATCTCTCTGGTTTCTGATAAACTAACATTAAGAGCAGCTCGGAGGTTTGCCCAAAAAAGCCCACATTTTCGCCTATCCTTGGGCCATTCCAGGCATGTTTGCTCTTCCATGAGAGCTTTCAGCTTATGATACCTAGTAGGAATGCAGTACAGTGGAATGGGTTCCAGCAAGATGAGGATTATATAATCAGAATTTTCATGGACGAGCTTGTGGTGGGCAAAGAAGAGTTCATAATGGCACCACTCACTCTGGACAAAGTTGGGAGACAAAACAAAGATGGACTTGTAACTTTTCTCAGTGCAGTTTATGATATTTTCAGTAACACTCTTGCTGGGGTCAAAGTTTCTTTCATGAAGGCAAATCAAAATAGAACCATCTTCTTTCTCTAGATTGGGAATTAATTCATTCTTTACCCAGAGAGAATCATGTTCACTGTATGAAATAAATGCATGGAATTGGACATTTCTCTTGAGTCGTTCTTGGGTAGTCTTCCTAACCCTGTGCCACGTCTGTGTCCACTGACTTAGCATCCTAATATACCAGAGCAGATCAAAGTGGAAGCAGCAGAAGGCCACTGTCACTCCCAGAGAAAGCATGATGACCACAATGACGAAGATCAACAAGGCTGTATTGCAGGATAATTCAGGCAGGTGAATGTCCTTTAACTGAGTCCCCTTTAGATTCAAAGGGTATTCACAGATATATGAATCTGACCATCCAACCAACATACCCTCTGAATTTTTTTCAAGCTGAATGAAGTCTCTTAATTCACAAGTACACCTGAATGGATTTCTTCCTGCATTTAGAATCTTAACTTCCTGGCAGCTCTGAAAAAATTCCTGAGATGGACTGAGAATTAAGTTCATTTCAATGTTCAGAAGTGAGAGTCTTCTGAAATGACTGCACGCAGGGAGATCAGTTAAAAAATTAAGAGCAACATTTAGCTCTCGTAAAGACTCCAAATGAATAATTGCCGTAGGGACACTTTGAATTTTGTTATTATTCAGGTCAAGTATTTGAATACTTCTCGGCAAACACCTGAAAACAGAATCAGAAAATTTATTGGATGACAAGTTCATGGTGATCAAGGTTTCTGGCCAGGAACAATTTTCACTGTTTTCATGTTGTAACAGATTTTGGCTCAGATCTAAGTGCTTCAAGGATGTGTTGTTAGCAAAGTAGCTCACTAAGGAAAGTGTCTCTAGTTTATTGCCCTTCAAAACAAGAGTCTTCAAATGAGGCAATTGGATTGGTTTTTCAAACAGAGCATCTGTTAAGACGTTATTGGCAAAATTTAAATATTGGAATCTTGTAGGATAATTAGGGAAAAGCATGTGTGGCATTTGTGCATCTGATATTGTCAGGTTTTCTATATCCATTTTGGTGAAAAGCAGGTAGACTCTATCCTGTGGAATATTAAAAACTCTGAAATGTACCTCCTCCAGTTTTATAGCTCTCATAACAGTATTTGAATAGTCAAATGAATTGTGATCAAGACAAACATTACCTCCAAAAGCCACATTTTGGATGTGGAAGTATTGCACGGACATATGCCAAACAAATTGGAAGATGAGGAGAAGGTCGTCCCAGAGCAAATCAACTTTATTAAGTAACAGGATAGATGTCTTAGCATTCTCTAAACTAAGATTTCGCTGCATTTCATAACTTCCAAATTGGCTTTTGCCATCTATATTTGTCATTTCTAATATTTTTGAAGTCTTGATTCCATCATGCAAAAGAACCCAGAAATTTGTGTTCATTGGTAAAACAATGTGAAGTTTTACTGTGTTTAAGATGGGCAGGCTACCTTCTTCATAATGAGAAAGAGTTTTCAATCCTAAAAATACCGTATTTAGATGCAAATGAGCAATTTTCTGGAAATCTGATTTTTGTATTTTTGCTCCACTCAAGCCTAGAATTTCCAGGTGGGACATGTTGCCAGTTTCCTCACAAACAGGCACAGTGTCAAAGTCATTGAAAGAAAGATCTAAATGTCTGAGACCTGCCAGTGGATAGCACGTTACAATCTTTAGTCTATTGTAAGACAGATCTAAGTATCTTAGCTCCTTGTTGAATTCAAAGGCCTTGATATCCAGTTGTTGGATTCTGTTATGGCACAGGATCAAAACTTTCAATTTGGAGACAGAATGAAAATCTGAACTTTGAATTTGAAAAAGGAGGTTGTAGGATAAATCCAGTGTGGTTGTGGTTGGGGTCAAATCTGCAGGAACCCTTCTTAGAGACATGTTGGAGCAGTTGGTAGTCAATTCCCTTTCTTCTGGCTGCTTTGGAGCCCAGCCCTGCACTGACATAACAATACTACAAAATATGCAAATGTTTCTGATAAACCTCATTGTATTTCCAATAATTTTATCACTGGTTCCCTCATATGTATGATGAAGATGAGTTTGAAACCCTAGAAAGAGAGCATATGATATCAGGTGTTTATTTGGTTTGTTAAATCCCATAGCATTTTTATTTAAAAAAAAAAAAAAAAAAGCCAGCATCTGACTATGTTCACCAAGAGTTTGAAATAGGGTTCCACCTACAGAATGGAATCTTTGGTTCCATCTCAAACCTTTGGCTGGTAGATACCTGACTGAATTCCTTTATGTGGCCTTTTGCCTTGGTTCTTTGGAAAAACAGCTTGAGAGATTGTTCTCCTAAGCCCTGAGGAGTTACCTTTGTCCTAATTTCTGCCCCAGAGGGTTTATTACTTTTGCCCAGGTTGATTGACTTTTCCTGAGAAAACTATAAACAACTTGACTTTTTGTCTGGCCCTGAGCAGCAGCCTGCCCTGTGATTGGTATGCACCTTGCAGGGGTTGGTCAATATACCCATGCAAATGAAGTGACTGTGGACTATGCAAATGAGGTGACTATAGCTATTATGCAAATGAAGTGTCTGTGACCTACTGAGAGGGGATTGGTCAGTTTGTGGTCCCTGCTGGGAGTAGCCATGCTTTGAAATTGACAAGGAGTTATGCATATGTATATATATATGCAAACAGCCTACAGAGGTTTTTCAGACAGGAAGAAGCAGAAGGAAGAAAGAAGAGAAGAAGGAGAAAGAGAGAGGAGGCAAGGAACCTCCTAAAAGAGCTGTAACACAAGTCAAGGGCTGTAACACTGAAGACAACAAGAGGCACAGAAGGGGTTCAGTGGCAGAGTCGGTGGTGACAGATGGCAGGGCCAAGAGGAGCCTGTCCTGACAGGGCTGAGAGGGGGCCTGCATGGCCAAGAGGAGCTGAGAGAGCTGTCCTGCACTGAAGAAGGGAAACTTTGATTACATGCTTCTTGATCCTGATCCTGAGTTGTACCATTACTTCCTTAATAAACTACTTAAGTGTAAATATGGTCTGTGAGCCCTGTGTGGCCACTACAATGGATTATCAAACCCAGAAGAGTGCCATGGGAGGGATGGCTAGTGTCAGAATTGATTTACAAGGTTGGAGGGTGGAGGTATGTCTGACCTCCACCTCATAGGGACCAGCTTTGGGCTAATCCTGGTCATTATCCCCCCTGAAGTTAGACAGGTTCTGATGACACTACTACTGCTACTTGAATTTTACAATACCCAAGCTAGTTACTGTGCCACATCCCCAAATCTGAAGCAAGTCAAGATTCTCAGCGAGGACAAGTATACTAGGTAGCATAAGTGCCTCTCCCTCAGCTCAGCTTAGAAACTTCATTGTCAGGTCATAGTCAACACCTTCTGTCACATCCCTTTTTGACAGTCTGAAAGTTTTAAGAAAATTGAAGGTAAATTTTTATCACCCAAAACTGTGGGCTCCTGAATTAATGTCATAGGGTTGTTCCTCAACCTTTGTATTTGTGGACATAGAGTCCCTTGAGCAAGTATCTGGCTTTCAACAACTCTTATCCATACACATTGTTATGCATCAAATTGTGTCCCTCAAAAAGATACGTTAAAGTCTTAACCTCTGTACCTATGATTGTGACCTTGTCTGGAGAAAAGCTCTTTGAAGATGTTATCAGGTTAACATGAGGTCATACTGGAGTAGGGTGGGTACCAATCCTATATGACTGGTGTCCTTATAAAACAGAAGATACACAGAGATAGGGAGACAGAGGAAGGACATTATGTGATGCTACAGCTGCAAGCCAAGGAACACCTAGAGCTACCAGAAGCTAGAAGAGAGTCACAGAACAGTTTCGCTCCAGAGCCATCAGAAGGGATTAATGCCAACACGGCCAATACCCTGGTTTGGACTTCTAGCCTCCAGAACAGTAAGACAATAAATTTCTGCTTTTATCAGCCACCCAATTTGTAGTATTTTGTTATGGCAGCCCTAGGAAACTAATACAAACATGGAAGGTCTAAAATATAGAAACAAACAGAATGGTTCCTGTCCTCCTCCTCCGTATATCTCCAGGTTGGTGGCAAAAACAATCTGGATCATTGCCAAATAATAACAGTAAAGATAAAACCAGCTACCATTTCTTGGAGAAAGAGAATTCTAGAGATAGAGAATAGCAAGCACAAGTTCAAAGATCCTGAAATGGAAGCTTGTGTGGAAAATTTGAGGAACAACTAGAGTGAAGTTTGTGAGTGGATTGGAGAAGAGGCTAGAAAGGCAAGAGTTTCTGTTTATGGTGATGGAAAATTTGGCAACAAATATTGGTGATGGTTGCACAACATGATTGATATAATTTGGTCTCACTGAATTGTACATGAGAAAAATGTTGAATTGGCAAATTTAAACATGTCTATATTTTTACAAGAAGAAAAGAAGAAAGGTGGCTCAGGGCCAGACCTTGTAGAGACTTGTACGTACTTGGGATTTCCCTCTGATCATTGAAATAAGAAACCAGTGGAAGGTTTAGAGTAGAGGAGTAACAGGTTCTGATGTACAGTTTCATAAGATTCCTTTGTTGGATGGAAATAACTGTAAGGGTACAAGCCTGGCAGGGAAACCCTTTGGGAAACAGTAGAATAATGCACGCAAAAAAGAAGGTAGTGGGGAAGATGATGAGAAGTGGTTAGATTCTAATATTAAATTAGTAAACTTTTCAATTTTATGCCCTCCCCTCACCAAGCACTCTTAAAGCACCAAGGGAAGGGGCAGGAGAGATAATGACTAGCAGTGGAGAGAGCTCTTCTGCTCCTACTTGCATGTGTCCAATATACATTGACCTTCAATCTCCATCAGACTGGTCACTCCAACAGACAAGCAAAAGGGGAAAAACTCATACTCAACAGAAAGAGCATGGTGTAGAGAGATTTCTCTGTACTTTTCTGTTTTTAAAAAAATTTTTTTTTATCGTACTTTAGATGAAGGTTTACAGAACAAATAGTTTCTCATTAAATAGTCAGTACACATATTGTTTTATGACATTGGTTAACAACCCCACAACATGTCAACACTCTCCCTTCTCGACCTTGAGGAC